GGGAGTAGCCGCAGCTCGGCGCCCTCCCGCCCTGCGCGCCTCCTGCGCGGGCCACGCCCGCCGTTGCCGCCTGTCAGATTTCTCTGCAGTGGGGACCAGGTCAGGGTGTGCGGGAAGGCAAGGGCATAAAGGAGAAATCGTACAGGTTCCTGCAGCACCCGATTCCCGAAGCCCGAAAGTGCTGTTAAGTTTGGGGTCGCCTGTAGTGGCCACCTTCTCTCCAATCATCTACAGGGATAAGAATTGATCTCTCTTTACTATGCAAAGGTGGGAAAAGATGGTGTTTAGAAAGGTACAGGCCTCGGGGGCACGCTCTCGGTCAGAGGGAACTGAAGTCTGTTTAACAATGATGAGAAGCTGAAGGGTCTAAAGTCTGACAGGCAAACCGTTTGTTACCTTTATGACCCAAGACACTGGGTCACTTTGGTGTCCATGACAAGACTCATGTTTTGCCTCCAGATTTTCAACCCTGTGCTTCTCCCTGCCTTGTTTGCAAAGACCCTTTAACCAGGGGAAGTTGAGTTCAGCTCTCTGGTGAACAAGTCAAGAGTCTGGGCCAATTAATAGGAAGTGGAACAAGCTAGTTGTTGGGGGAAACATTTTTTAACCTGATGGACGAGGAGGACCTAACCTGGGAAACCGTGGAGGTTTTCTGTGCATCGAGGACCCTTTTTGCATGCCGTCTTTCTGTCTCTGCAGCCCGCAGAGGTTCACTCAGACCTCCATGGTTGTCTTGCCAAGTAAAGGGAAACCTGGGGTTTTATTTTGAAAGTCATGGGCTGAACTTAACAAGAAAAAAAAGCTTTACTTTTTGTTCTGGGAAATTTCAAACATTCACAGATGTAAGAAAAGGATCCAACCTTGCAAAATTATTGACTACCTGGCCAGTTGTGCTTTATATCCACTGGGAACCTTTCCCAGTGTCCTCCCCATGAAGCAAATCTCAGACAACACTCCATTTTATTCTTCCTTAGGAGAAGGAAGGAAGCAGTTAACCAATACTAAGACTGTGTCAAGGAAGGCTCCAGAAATGACCCAGATAGGCTCACATTGATCATGGTGAGTCAACTTCAACATCAGGAGATTATTGCAGTTGCTTCAGGCCCATTAACAGAAGTTCATAATGTTTCCAAAACAACCCAACAGATTGGTAACTGCTGATGGCAGAGAGAACCATTTCATATTGCAAAAATACTTTAGAAAGAAGAAAACAATCGTACATCTATTTTACAAAGTTTTATACAAATGAAACCTGAGTATGCCCCATTCAGTTTCCCCTTCCCTTGTTTTCGACTTTATTGACTGAACAATCCCGGTCTTCCTTGGGCAGCAGACACCAGGAAGAGGAAAGTGAGAACAGCCTAAACACATTAGCGGTGTAGTAGTTTCCTCTGACATTCAACCCTTTCGTCTTCATTGGAAATTTAAAATAGGATGTGAAAAGGGTGGTTGAACAACTGCATAGTTTAAGACAGGAAGTTTTTAGGAAAGTGAACCAATTGCTATTCTTAGGGGAAGTGAAATACTCCATCCTGCAGGGAAGCAGCTAAAGGCTTCAAGACCAGACATAAACCACCTAAGATGGGTTCAGGAAGTTCCTGAAACAGATCAAACTTACTGCTCTCCACCAAAGAGTGTGTAAGTGTTAAAGACTCCTGAGAGTCACTCTCAGTCCAACTAAGGGATGACTCACAGATAAGACTAGGTCCAAGCTTAGCTGTCTAGAAAGAGGCCTAGACCAGGACAACCACCAGGAAGAAGCAGATATTAGCCAATAACTTGGAAGAGGCAGAGATCTGCTGAAGTGCCCTGAAGAAACAAAGACCAGCCAAGTCTCCCAGAAGAAGCGCAGACCAAATGAATGACAAACATCCTTCAAACTGTTCATCTGTCTACAGGCTGTGGAGTACAGTTCAAGTATCTAGCTTTTGTGAACCGTCTCCCATGGTGGTGTGGGATTTTGATGATGTAGCTGTGCCTGAGTTATTTTCAGTTCTGCCATTAACTCCTCATCCATATTTCTGTAAGAGTCACAAATAAACCTCATTGGTTGATCAGCTTGAACTTTAGTGGTTGTGATGGTTTGAAAGAAAATGGCTCCCAAAGAAACTAGCACCTTTAGGAGGTGTGGTCTTGTTGGAGGAAGTGTGTCACTGTAGGGACAGCCTTGAGGTCTCACTTGCTCAAACTTCATGGAGTGTGATGCTCAGTCTACTTCCTGTTGCTTGCAAATCAGCATATAACAGCTCCTTTTCCAGCACCATGTCTACCTGCACACTGCCATGCTCTCCACCATGTTGATAATGGATTAAACCTCTCAAACCATAAGCCACCATTTCGATTAAACGTTTTTCTTGTTATAAGAGTTGCCATGGTCATAGTGTCTCTTTACAGCAATAGAAACTCTAAGACAGTGGTGTCTTTGGTCAGCCATTTGGTTCCTATCTGGTGTAAAATTGATGTTTGTTCATGTCTTCTGAGAAATAGTGTCACACAGCACTTAAACCTCAAGAGACAGAAGCAAGTGGATCTCCGTGTTTGAAGCTAGTCAGAAAACTAACAAATATAATATGGCATATTGATTCCTACCAGGACTTTTATTGGTGTTGTTCAATTCCCTTCACCTTTAGCCTGGAAGGGTCACCAACTCTCCATTTGGCAGAAAAGGGATGGGACTCAGATGAAGACCTGCATCTTCAGGCTGTACTGTCTGGGTTCACACTTGGCTGATTGTGACAGAAACTTAGCTTCCATAGTTTAACCAAACAAGACTTTATTTTTCTCAAAAAGAAACCTGAAAACATACTGTCTAACATTTGTTTGATAGCTCTATGATACTAGCCTTAGAATTCAAAAGTCTATGCTGTCTCAACTTAATGTATAGTTTTTATCTTCAGGGCTACAGAGTTGTTGCCTTGGGGCAGGGTGAGGTTAACATGTCTGAATTCCAGACAAGAATAAGAAATAATGAAAGGTTAAAAAAATGAAACTTCCTTGTTGAACCTTCCCTTTTTGTTTATAGAAGGATGCTGTCATAACACATCTCCATGTGAATGGCCACCACTTGGTCATGGTTACACTTAGCTGTAAGGGAGTATGAAATGTTTCTTAACTGGGTTCATATTCAAGTTTTAAAGAAGTGGAGCTTTGTTTGAAACAGACAAGAAAAAAAATGGATGTTGAATGAGCAGCTAACGGTATTTGACAGCTTCAAAGTATCTTAATTTGGCAGCTGCACAAGAACTTGACAGTGAGCTGCCGTGACAACTGAGAAGGCTGGAAGTACATTACTGTAGCGATGGAGAGCCTTCGCTGCTCTATGCCATGTTCCCTGGAGCCAGAACCAGAGGGCAGCTATATCCACCCACTTGTTGATCATCGAGAAAGGGTCATTCCTGAGAAAACCTGAGCTGTCCAAACAGAAGCTTGATCAACTCCTTTGTCGAGAGTCAGTAATAAACTTCCTTAGATAATCATTTAAAAGTCACCTTTAAAAATTATAAATGTACACTACGTACATGTAAGCATGACTTGACATCATGTTCGCCTTTCTATTAACTAGCACGTTGCTTGAATATAGAGTTAGTGGGAATGGTTAGTAATTACCCGTTGAGAGTAGTTGGCTCTCTTAGTAATTCTATAGACAGCCTTTCAAAAGCTAATATAAAACTTTCAAAAATCATGGGCCACACTTGAATTAATAAAGCTAAAACAGAATTCTCAGGTGTCACTCTGACTCTAATTCCACCACTAGAAATTTGTTACTTTGGCTACTTATTTTCACAATTTCAGTATTACTTTCTTTAGTGTAATATCTTTCTTAATTTTTTGAGAACTTTCTAAAATGTATTTTGACCATAATTGTCCCCCACACCTCCCTTTGACTTCTCCCTGATCCACCTCACCATTCTTTCCCAACTTTATGTTCCATCAGGTTCAATTTTTGCTGGTCATGTACACATGATTATGGGGCATCCACTGGAGTATGGACATCACAGTAGAGGCCACACCCTTTAAGAAAACTGTCTCTTCTTTCCCCAGAAGTCATCAATTATCAATAGCTTCCCAGTACAGGATTAACAAATCCCACTTTCTTCTATGCTAGAATATGGAGTGACTAAATCTTATATAGATCTTGTGAAAGCAACCACAGAGGCTGTGCATTCATGAGTTCAGTGGTTACATCATGTCCCCCAAAGACACTGTCTGCTCTGGGTCTGAGATTCTGTCTGCTTCACCTTCCTTACTGGCCTCTGAGGCGTGGAGAAGGGTGTTATATAGACGTTCTATCTGTGGCTGAACACTGACACTTATTCTCTCCATTTTGAGCAGTTGTGAGTGTCTATGTTAACCACTGCCCAGCACACAACACAAAGAAAGTTCTCTGTCGAGGTCTGAGAGCTGCATTAATCTATGAGTAAAGACAGGCAAACTTAGAAGGCAGTTTGATACTGAGTTTATTTTAGCAGAATATTAGTGGTAGAGTTTAACCACTAAGAACCCTGGGGTTCTTGTCCACACTTATAGTACCAGGCAGGTGTTTCCTCTTGTGGAGGCCTTAAATCTAGTCATAAAACAGTTGGTTACTTCCATG